TTATATAATATATATTAAATAAATAATCATAAATAAATTATAATTATAATATGCTTTATATTAAATAAATAATTTTAATATATTAATAAATGATAAAATATTTATTCTATATTAGTTTATATAAATTGCATTAAAATAGGAATTATAACTTACCATTTTCAAAATTTTTGAATGATGATATAAAAATAAATCATGATTAAAGAATCAATATTTTTTATATCAATTACATAACTTTACTAATTTTGTGCTTATTATAAACATGCTTAAATACTTTAGATTAATTTTTATAAAATGCAAACTATATCAAACAATTTAAAATATAAAAATATATTTCATGCAATTAGCAAAAATTGTTAATAATGATTATTTTTTAATAGAATTGCGAAAGTTTGATTTATTTTACTTTTATCTATAATTATTATTCATACCTTGTATTTTTTTTGGACACTTTTCCTTACAACGCATTCCATACCACCCTTCTTTACAGGGTTGAGAACAGTCAACTCCCTCCCAACCTCTGGCACAAATACAAGTGCCGGTTTCCGGATCGCATGAACTATTATTCATGCACTCGCATTGCGAATGACAGTCATTACCATAAAGACCTTCTGGACATTTTGTTTCACAACGAATTCCTGTTTCATTTTGTTAAATGTTCATATCGTTAAAATTACCATTAAACATATATTTTTTCTACCTTTTTTTTTTAATAATTTTATCCATTTTTAAAAAAAATTTAAATAAAATTTTAGAATAATATATTAATAAAATAATATGATATATTAATGATATGAATATATTAAGTAAATAGGTAGGAAAACTATCTAATAATTGATGATTTTCTTTTTTTTTTTTATGATGAAATAATGAGATAATTGGAATATTAAAATGTTATTGTCAAGAAGGAATAAATATTGAAACTTTCATGTATGATAAATTAAAAAAGAGAACAAACCTCGCCATTCTGGCTTACAGATGCAATAGCCAGTGGCAGGATCACAATCTAGACTATTCTCTTCATGACAATCACAGGCTTGTGTACATCCCAACCCGAAAAATCCTTTTTCACAATGATCTTGACAAAATTCACCAATAAAGCCAGCTGCACACGTGCATGTGCCTATGTGTGTTTAAAAAAAATAATGTATTTTGATATAGGTGCAAAATAAAAATAGAAATATAAAATTAAAAAATATGATTCTCAAAAATATATAGAATTAAATTAAAAAGCATTAATAGAATAAAAATAAAAGAAATAATAAAATTGAAATAAAAAAAATGATATTTATTAAGAAATAAAGGTATGTGATTAAAAATTTATACAAATTAATATTCTTTTGTTAATGATTTAAAGCATTAATTTTTTCTAAAACTAAAAAATATTGCAACCAGCACCTTACCATTTTGTGGATTGCAGGCAGCATTATTAAAGCATTTGCATTTGCCTTCGCAGTCCTTGCCGAAAGATTTATCATCACATGGACGATCACATGAAACACCAACCCATCCTAACAAAATGTAATAATAATACATGCAGAAATAAAATTTAAAAAATGATATTTTAAAAGATATGATTAAACTGAATAATTCTTATTGAATTAGATTTACTTACCTTTAGTAATGATCACTTAAATAAATATATTTATAAAATAATTTAATATTTAAAAGAACACAATCCACAAATTTATAAATAATATACAATACTATTAAAAATTACAGTTATATTTTACACTTGCTCATGCTATTTACAATCAATTAAAAGTTAAATTATTAATTAAATCCAAGTAAAAAAAAATAAAATAAGAATACAAAAAACCAATAAACCATAAAATGCTTCTCATTTTAAAAATATCTTTCTTTAAAAGATAGTTTTTTAGTAACTCATGCATAACTCAATCAAAAAGCTTATATCTTTCATTTTTTTATTTTAAAAATTATTTATATTAATATATATTAATTTATTAATTTTTGTGCTCGAATCTGTAATACATTACCTGCTGTACAGTTGCATCGACCATTCTCGGGTGAACACGTGGCACCATTTTTACAGACACATTCTTGTGCACAGTTTTCACCGTAAGTGTTGTCAGGACAAATTTCGTTACAATCCTCACCTTTATATCCTGGCGCACAAATGCAAGTTCCATTTATAGGTGAGCATTGTGCATTATTTTTGCAATTGCAATGATTTTGACAGCCTTTTCCATACATGTAGAGAGGACAAGGTCTGGTACAAGTGTCACCATCCCATCCTGGTTTGCAAATGCATTTTCCAGTCCAAGGATGACACATTTCAGTATTGTTCTTTTCACACTCACAAATCTAATAATATTTTGTATTTTATTTATATTAAAAATAGTATAGAAACATGAATATTGTATTTATGATATTACGTACTTTTGTACAGTTGGATCCCCATAATTCATCTTGACAAATACGCTTATTGCATTTTTCACCCATCCAACCAGGACTACAAGTACATGATCCATCAATTGGAGAACAAATTGCACTATTTTTACAAGTACAATTGCTTGTACAATTCAAACCAAATGTTCCCTCAGGACATATTTTCAAACACTATAAAACATAATTTTTAAAATTATAAAAATTATCATTTAAAAATATTATATTTATCAAGAAATTAAAAATTCATTTTAATAATTCAAAATTCTTGAAAATAATCAACCTTTTCATCATAATAGCCAGATTTACATTCACATTCTCCAGTAATATGATGACAACCAGCTCCATTATAACAATCACATTCTTGAGAACAGTTTTTACCCCAAAAACCTTCTGGACATCGACTTGCACAGACGGAACCCTATTTTTAAATGAAATTCAATTTAAATCATATATTGATATATTGATATACTTATAAAAAAATTATAATATTAATTAATTTACAGTCCATCCAGGAGTACAGTAGCATTCGCCAGTTGTAGGATTGCAAGAACCACCATTTTGACATTTACATTCTGACTTGCATTCATCGCCGTGTTTTCCCGGTGGGCACAGATCGTCACAACTAAGAAAAGAATTATATTAGAATAATTTAAAATTTGAATTCTGATATTTAATAAAATTAATAATAAAATAAAAAGAGTCTTACAGAGGTCCTGTATAACCCGGAGCACAATGGCATTCACCAGAAATGTGATGACAGCTTCCACCATTTCGGCAGCGACATTCTTCGCCACAATCTTGTCCATATCGATTAGAAGGACATTCCTGATTACAGTAAGTGCCGGTCCAACCTCTATTACACAAGCATTTACCATCAAATGGATCACAAGTAGCTCCATTTTGACACATGCAGTCCATTTCGCAAGATTTGCCCCATTTTCCAGGTGGACATTCTTAAATATAAATATAAATTTTTTTTAAATTATATTCTTAAGAACTAATCATAAATAATAATAAAACATATAAAATGCAAGATTTCTTTATTTATAATAATTATAAATTATTATATTATATTAAATTATTATATTATAAATTAATTTATAATATTAATATATATCAATAAAATTATATAATAAATTATTAAA